TACAAGTCATCATTATTTGCTCAATTTATTATACATGATATTTTAATTTTTCAGAACAATGACTCTTAATCCCTTATCTTTATTCTTGAACAAAGACAACTTGGTGAAAATTATGTTGACTGAAAATGCAATTTAGTGATTGTTCTCACTGCAGAGAAACACAAATTCATGCTGGACAATACATACCCTGATGTACCGACATATCCACCCCTGAGGATAATGCTGCAATGTCAAGCTCATCCCGCTCCAGATTAGGAGCCATCTTTCGAGCCAACTACTGACCAGGTTGCTCTTCTTCGACAGATTCTAGCGACTCGGTTAGAAAATAGGAGGAGAAATTCGGCAATGCAGCAAGGGATTGCTTCTATGAGGGTTGAGCAGCAGTGTAAGGGTGGAGTGGCGATCCATGTCTCACACTATAAGCCAGATGAGACTAAATATGGAAGATATTATAAGGATATGTGATAGGTTCCCATATCAGCTGGATGATTTTACACACACACAGTTGAGAAATAGAGATAGTGAATTGCCCATGTGGGGTGACTTGACTCATAAGTTATTAAAATGAATTGGAATGAGTGGTTTGAATATAATTCAAACCCCATAACTTCCCTCAACTCCCATCTATTTCCATAATCTTGAAATAATTCTCGTCACTTAGAATTGAATGATGAGAGAGAAAATATGACAATAAAATTAGGCATTCAACAAGCCGAGCCGGTTCACGAGCCAAGTCTCGAATCTCGGGCTTGACTCGAATAAAAATGGTTCGAGCTTTTTTTGGTCCAAGCCGAACTTTTGGTTGACCAAAAAATCTAGACTTGACCCAAACTTTCTGCTCAAGCCTTAATGAGCTGAGTCAGCTCACTTTTTTTTTTTTTCGCCTCTTGAGGCAGCTATTGCTACCTGCAATCAGCAATCAAGGTAGCTACTGCCACCCAAACACAGATGCCTTAAATAACGAGCAGATGTATTGTACAGCTGCCTTAACAAGGCAAATTTTTATTTTTATTTTAAGTTTTGCAAATTTTAAGTTTTTTAAATTTTTTTGTACAACTACCTTGTTGAGCCACGCGGGCTAGCTCGGGCTTAAGCCAACACCCTTAAATGGGGCTCGGTCTGAGCCATGGGCCGCCCGAGCTGGCGAGCTAAATTTACACCTCTAAATAAAATATTTGAAATTCGTATGGAAAATCACTCAAAATTAGAAAAATGCCAGAACCACATATATGGCATATAAACTCACAAAATTAGGCATTTAGATTATAAATAGGAATCTCATTCCATTGTGATCGGGATTGGTACAATTGCAGAACAAGAAAATGCAGATTTTAGAGCTTTGAAATGCACTGTGATTCAATATACAGAGATCTTGGAATCCATTCTTTCAAGTGACGATTCTTAATTGTAATTCATGTTCAAGTATGCTCTGCATTCCTACTTTGGTATAACAGCCAGTTGAATTCCTTGTTGTAATACATGTTTAAGTATTCCATTACATGATTCAATTGAGTTGTGAATCTTGTAGCTAAAATTTTGAAACCTTATGTGGTCTTTAATAGTATCCTTTGATATACATGTCTAAAATTAATAAAATTTGGAATTATGTATATAATATGCTTTAAAATTTACTTGCAAAATTTCATCAATTTTCATTATTGCATTTGTGAGAAAATTGAAACCCCACTCAATTTTGCAAAAACTTTAAAAATTTACCGCATTTTATTTGTTGATATTCATGCAGCAATATTAGTATGGTTAGAAAGATATTTCACTTATCTTTCCAATCATATAAAGATCTTAAATATTGGACTTAAACGGAGAAGTTATGGTATTTTAAAGTTTGGATGAAAATCTGATTTTTTGTATGAAAATTGATAAAACCTGAAATTTCATGATAACTTCTTCTACACCGTGTTTCATGCTTCCCATTTGATGTGGTTGGACAGATCTTCTGAAAACATTTCTAGCAATATAAAGATCATTAATTTAAGCCATAAAGTTCATTAATTTTAGCCTTGAAATGAAGAACTTATGGCCTTTCAAAACTTGATCGAAAATCTAAAAATTTTGCATGATTTTTTTGTCATTTCCACTTTCAGACAGATCTGTTGATGTCCCAAACCCGGCCTAAAACATTGATTATGTAAAATCTAACCACACAGATGAACTCAAAACGTCAAAATAAGTCAGGATTACTAATGGGAATTTTTATTTTTTTTCCGATACGGCTAGCATGTGTTGTGTCTACACTTGGAAGCGTGTCATTTTTTTAATTAATTTTTTACAAAAATTATAGGTTGGTCCCACGCATGAAGGCACGTGTGGGGTCCAATTGCAATTCTAAAAAAAAGTTGGCCCCTAAATTATTCTTGATTTTCAGTATGATTAAATTAATTTTTAGATAGTTAGATTTTACTTATTTATTTTTGTATTCAATGCTTAAAATAAATTTGTAAAAGTATTAAAAATCTTTTTTTTTATTAAACAATTGAATAAATTCTAATTTTTTTTTAAATAAAATCAGGAATATTTATCTAGTGGTATTTGGCTAGTGTAGGTTATTTTTTGAAGTAGTCTCATTTTTTTTTTTTTTTGAAAACAAAAAATACTTTTGAGGACATTTTGAGACATTTTTTTTTGTAATAAGCAGAATATAAGAATTCTGATGTCGCTTCTCATTTGTTGAGATTATGTTGCAACAGATATTAAAATGAGATTGAAAATCTGTATAATAAAACATAAATGATGTGAGTTTTATTCTTCGATTATAATTGTATTACTTTCAGAAAGAATTAATTTGTGATATGATGATATATATGTCATAATTGGATAAACGTGTATATTTATACTTTTATTGCAGATTATAGAATTACCTTATTGAATTACATGATGTGTATTAATTCTTAAATTGTTATGAGTGTTAAGATCAGAAGAATTAGTGAGGTTCTTACTCAGACCTATTGATTGTCAGTTACCAATTGAGTGGGAGTTCTCAAGTTGAAAGAATTAACATAATTCTCACTTAGAACCTATGGAATTTTGCGTCATGAAATTAAGTTTATGATAGCAAAACAATAGGATTGCGGACAATGATGGAGAACATAGTGAACTTTTGACGTTGAATTATCATATACATGAATTTGCATTAATGCAAATTGTACAAGTGCATAAATGGGTTTTTATTGAGAATAAAAATATATCTAAAATCTAATAAATCATGACATCAAAATCTATAGTTATTGACCTTAATGAAAGTGATAAGCCAAATGCGATAACATTTGGCATAATATGATTTTGAGTGTACTAGAAGAATATATGTTTTAGAAAGCACCAACCATGTAATATAAGACTTGATGCTTACTCTGAAACTCTTCGTTTATACCATAATGATATTTTTTTGTTTCTCTCTTCATCTAGGTCAGACTACTCTAGAAAATAAAGATCAATAATTTTGTCAAGTAAATTATTAAATTCTATTATAGATGATCGTTTTCTTGAATGTGACATAACTGAGATAGTTAACATAGTGTTGACATTTTTGTTGGTCACATTTTTTTAAATGAGTAGTAAGTTCAAACTAATCTCTTCTCAATATATAGAAACTTTAAAGGTCATTGTGACTTAAAAATTGAAGAGTCAGTTTTCTCTATTGACATTATCTAATTTGTGAGTTAAAAAACGTGAGACTTGATATTACTAAATCTCAAGTTCATACTTGTGTAGCAATGTTCTAGTTCGCATAAGACTTCAAATCTTAACTTTTAAATGAGGTAAAACAAATGTGGGATAGATGAGGAGACAAAAAAAGGGACCAAGAAGTACATATCAGATAGAAGTACATGAAGTTGGTTTTGGTAGATGACCAATATGCTAAAGGTTTACGTGTTTCAATCATACAGTTTGAATCTTTTAGCTCGAAAGGAGTTAAGTTAAAAGATATTGCACTTGAATATGTTCCTTTTAGTATTTTTTATGTGTCAACACTATACATATTGGATCTTATCTTATGTGCATAGTGAATTCAAGAGTTAGAAACCCACTTTATATCAGATTAAGAAGTATCTTTAGTCTATTGTCGAGTCTTTGACTTGATATAAAATAGATATATACAAATAATGAAGATGGAGTTGAGGTTTATATAACTGGTACATACAATATACTATTGCAAAGTGGATATACTGGCCTCTTATTTGATATTAGGATAATATCAAAGACTCCACTAAACTTGATCTCAATTGCTGTTCTTATAAGAATGATCTCCAACTTGAATTTATATGTGGTAATTTTGTTCGTACTCACAGTGGTGATGTTTAATTATGATTTTAGATATTTGTGTAATAGTGTGAGGTTTTGAGTTTAGAAAATCATTCAAAACTGTAAGAGTTAAACTTTAATAAAGTAAATCCATCCGAATTTCTTTGAGGGATGGAGATGAAATTTCATATTTTCATTTCATTTATAGATGGATTCACGAATTTCAGTTGTGCCTATGATTTTCATAAATTGGAGATATTTTATTGATTTAGACTTTATTGAAAGGGAATAGAAACTCAGATTATGGAAGTGAATTTTGAGAACTGTTTGAAAGCGTGAATCTCTATCATGGGAGATCAATGATCTACGTAATGAAAAAGAAATTCTTATTAGATTACTATTCCTTGCTTATCAATAATTATAGGGAAAATTGCAACCATGGTACCAAACATTTTATTTAGTTGCAGATTTTGCCCAAACCTTTCATTTGTGCCAACCACGGTACCAAACCTTTCAAAAATCGTAGTCAAAGTCCAATTTAACAGAAACTGTTAGTTTAACCGTTAGTTGATCGAAGAATTGACCTTGACCATAATTTTGACCAATTTTACAAAGCTAAAATGGTAAATTTCACCGGTGTCTTCTGTAATAATCCCTAAAATTCATTCTCCTGAAGATAAAGATACTGGATACTCCCATTTGGCAACTTTGGAACTGTGCCCATGAGCTTGTTGTTGGTGAGGTTAAAGGAAACTAAGCTCTCCACAACTAGAAAGTGAATGCCCAACATCGCCGAAGAATTTTTTGGAAGATAAGTCCAGGTGTTGCAATTTCAAGCAGTCATCTATCCGTGGGAAATCAGAGGAAAAATTATTCGTTGAAAGATCCAAATACATCGAATTCTTGAAATTCAACTTAGGCAAACTCCCTGCCACTTTATTGCCCTTCAAAGATAGGTGTTGAAGCTCAGCAAATTCATTTAATAAAAGCCAAGAAACCACGTTTTGACCCGAAATATTATTGTACGATATATCAAGAACATGTAATGATGATAATCCCGCGGGGAAGCCTCTGGTAGTTTCCTCGACAAAAGAGTCCATGAAATTCTCGGAGAGATTAAGAAACACCAAACCAGAGCAAACTCCAAGGCTTGAAATATCAGTAACAGGCCTTGAAATGCCATTTTTCGCTAATTCTATATAATTTAAGAAACCAATGCATGTTAATTTCAGCACATGGGACTCCAAAATCTGGATGCCCAACAAAAAATTGGCCACCGAGGAGGAATCCATATTGAGAGGTGAGCCCGACAGGTCTATAGAGGAGACTCTGTAATTTTTATAGAAGACACCAATGAAATTGCAAGGACTGATTGTGGACACCCAATCTCGAAGTCTTCATCCAGCCATAGCAGAAAATCACAGTTGTAGGTTTGGGTGGGGTGGGAATGCGTGATTTGGGTTTTATTGATTTAATTATTTAATTATGGAAAATGTAAATTTACCATTTTAACCTTGAAAAATTGGTCGAAAATATGGTCAATGTCAATTCATCGGTCAACTAACAACCAAACTGACAGTTTCTGCTAAATTGGATTTCCACTGCGATTTTTGAAAGATTTGGTACCATAATTGGCATAAATGAAAGATTTAGACAAAGTCTGCAACTAAATGAAAGGTTTGGTACCAAGGCTACAATTTTCCCATAATTATATGGTCTATTGGGAAAAAAGAACGGAATATTACTAAATGTGGTGAGACGGGAGATAATGCAGTTTAATTTACGTATTTTCTGTCTAGAAGAATATCAGTTAGCTATAATGTGCACTTAATGGAGTTTTCTCAATGTTAGTAACTTCAGAATATACAAGGTTTGGACATATGGATAACAAAATCTGGATTGTCATAGACTCATAATCGATTATGTAAGTTCTTGTTAATAAGTTTGGGAATATGAGTCTATTAAAAAAGAGATATATATATCTATGAGATACACATGACAGTCCAATGTATTTGTTCATAAGTGAAATTTTTGGTGGATATCAAGAAATAAGATGTGATATTTGACTTTTTTCCTAGTAAGGGAAAAAGCTTTGGAGAATTATATTGCAATTAAATAATGTGGAATAATGAATCAGTTTTGACTACAAATGAGTTGTTTTAACCTTCTGATTCAAGGGGGAGTAATGTGTCTTCAAGTGAGAGAAATATATTTTCAATAATTCAAACATTTACTTATATGAGTACAAAGAGAATATTGAGAAAAGTAATGGAAGTATATGTATGGAGTAAGGAATTCCAACCTAATTTGAGATGTGATGGAAGTTCTAATTAGACATTATGTTTATTGAGAACATTCTAGTTCTTAAAAACTTAGTGGAAAACTAATGAGTTTATGATAAATAAAGTTCAGTTTTTTAGAGAAAGGTTATACTCAATATGAGAATATTTAGAGTTAGACAAACGTTTTTCTTAGCAATGAAAATCACTTCTATATGTCGATACTAGCCATGATAGTGTATTTAAGTTTAGATTACACCAAATAGACTTAGACACTATTTTTGTATTCTCAATTGAGAATTGATTGAAGAGATCTGTATGAATCGATTTGTAGGTTTCACGCTGAAGGCTTTTATAGTATTGTGGTAATTTTATAGTTACACTTGCAGCCTAATGCATTCATCCTGACAATGTCACTTGAGTTTTAACAGGGTTTAAATCTCGTACAAAATCTCATCGTGTGGATGAAGATCACTGTATTTATGTAAAGGTTTAATGGTACATTGTAATTTTAATTTTGATATTGATGACGTTATATTTAGGGGTGTCCAAAAGTTCCGAACCAAATCGGACTGAACCGAACTCGAACCCGAATCGAACCGAGCGGTTCTTCATAAGTTAAATACTCGAACGAGTACCCGAATCAAGAACCAATGGGTTTTGGTCGGGTCTGGGATCTAGACCAAGAACCGAAACTAAATTTTTTTTTATTTTTTATATTGAATTAATTAAATTATTTTATTTTTTTCTAAACAAATTAGCAAATTAATTAAATATATATTCTAGACTCTTGAAAATTTCCCAAGATGGAATTTGCATTGAAGAAACAGAATTCTATAAGGGCATTGAGAAAGGTAATAAATATATATTATATTTTTTTTATTAAAACTTATCAGTTGAATAATTTTTAGTTTATTTGCGTTTGTTAATTGTATCTTTTCAATTATGCTAGTAAAGTTTCTTACCATGACAAGTCAATCAATTGATGATTAAATCAAATATTTTGTAAGTTTTACCAATACTTAAAAATATTTTATTTTTATAACTTTTAATTTATATTTCATTTTCTTTATGCAAGCAGGCTGTTTGAAGCAAATGAATTTACTTTATGTAGTGTTGCTATAATATTAATATCTACTTTTGATATTTGTATGCATTGAATCAATCTTATTGGACAACTAGTTATTTATATGTTTTTGAATTGGGCTTAGTTAATTTGTAAAAGTTACGAATGAAATATTATTAGTTGTATTTATGTAGTGATGTTGTAAATATTAAAAAATTTAATTATGATACGGAACCGAACCAAAC